AGGACAAACAAAATATTGACATACCTGCCAACTAAATGGCTGAATTCTGGATCACTGGTCTCACACATCGCTGCGCTGCGGGCCAGGCCACTGGGTTCGGCTCGGCGCCGGGCTCCGCCGGCGGCCGCCTCAGGCCGTGCTCTGCCGCAGCGCTGTCACTGCTGGAGGCGGAGGCGGACGGGCCGGCGCCGCTGTCGCTCGGCTGTGCGCGGCTGGACGCGCTGCTGGCCGGCGGCCTGCTCCGGCGCGGCCTCACCGAGCTGGCCGGCGAGAGCGGCTCAGGCAAGACGCAGCTCTGCCTGCAGCTGGCGCTGGAGGCGGCCTCCGCCACAGGACAGGGTACGGCTTCGCCAGGGGGCGGGCCTCGCTACCGAACGTTACACGCTCCGGTAGGTACTACCCTCCTAATAGGGTACGGCACGCGGAGAGGCGCCAACGAGCAGGGTACGGTCCTGGAGGGGTGTCGCTCAGCGGAATACAGGATCAGAAGAGGCACCGCTGAACAGAGAATTGTATCAGGTAGGAACGCCGTACCACCAAACGGTATGGCACGGAAGGAAGGGCTCCTCGCCAAGGACCTGGTGCCATACCGTGACTGATATCAACAACAGGATACAGTACCGGGAAGGGATCACCGAGCGGGCTCAGTACCGGGAAGGGATCACCGAGCGGGCTCAGTACCGGGAAGGGATCACCAAGCGGGCTCAGTACCGGGAAGGGATCACCGAGCGGGCTCAGTACCGGGAAGGGATCACCGAGCGGGCTCAGTACCGGGAAGGGATCACCGAGCGGGCTCAGTACCGGGAAGGTATCACCGAGCGGGCTCAGTACCGGGAAGGGATCACCGAGTGGGGCTCAGTACCGGGAAGGGATCACCGAGCGGGCTCAGTACCGGGAAGGGATCACCGAGCGGGCTCAGTACCGGGAAGGGATCACCGAGCGGGCTCAGTACCGGGAAGGGATCACCGAGCGGGCTCAGTACCGGGAAGGGATCACCGAGCGGGCTCAGTACCGGGAAGGGATCACCGAGTGGGGCTCAGTACCGGGAAGGGATCACCGAGCGGGCTCAGTACCGGGAAGGGATCACCGAGCGGGCTCAGTACCGGGAAGGGATCACCGAGCGGGCTCAGTACCGGGAAGGTATCACCGAGCGGGCTCAGTACCGGGAAGGGATCACCGAGTGGGGCTCAGTACCGGGAAGGGATCACCGAGCGGGCTCAGTACCGGGAAGGGATCACCGAGCGGGCTCAGTACCGGGAAGGGATCACCGAGCGGGCTCAGTACCGGGAAGGGATCACCGAGCGGGCTCAGTACCGGGAAGGGATCACCGAGCGGGCTCAGTACCGGGAAGGGATCACCGAGCGGGCTCAGTACCGGGAAGGGATCACCGAGCGGGCTCAGTACCGGGAAGGGATCACCGAGCGGGCTCAGTACCGGGAAGGGATCACCGAGCGGGCTCAGTACCGGGAAGGGATCACCGAGTGGGGCTCAGTACCGGGAAGGGATCACCGAGCGGGCTCAGTACCGGGAAGGGATCACCGGGCGGGGCTCAGTACCGGGAAGGGATCACCAAGCGGGCTCAGTACCGGGAAGGGATCACCGAGTGGGGCTCCGTACCGGGAAGGGATCACCAAGCGGGGCTCCGTACCGGGAAGGTATCACCGAGCGGGGCTCAGTACCGGGAAGGTATCACCGAGCGGGGCTCCGTACCGGGAAGGTATCACCGAGCGGGGCTCAGTACCGGGAAGGTATCACCGAGCGGGGCTCCGTACCGGGAAGGTATCACCGAGCGGGGCTCAGTACCGGGAAGGTATCACCGAGCGGGGCTCCGTACCGGGAAGGTATCACCGAGCGGGGCTCCGTACCGGGAGGGAAGCCCGCGCTGCGAAACCATGCGGCGCCCTGTTTGGTGGCGTGGACCTCTGTTCTCTACCAGAAGTCATTGCAGATTCTCCTAGCATCGTCCAGTTGAAGTGTCTTATAATGAATCCGATTTGTTTTTCTCCATCAAGAGTGATTAGGTCGCAGACGCAGACGACATGAATCTTTCCTCACAACCCGGGTTGGTACCTATTTAGCTTTCCGCTAGTCGCGACGGACTGCAATATTCTCTTTACGATGAAGTCATTGTGTTCGCCCGTTCACCGCCGATGTATGTCTCCTGGTCACGGCAGCAGATTACTAACCTATCGTTATTGATGGCAATGCATAGCCGTAAAGATCGCGTCCTATTTCCGTGCGTCTTGGAGCCATTGACTTGTGATCTTTTCAGCCATGCTTTAGTATTCTTCTATTACACGTGTCGGCGATATCCTCATTAGTCACTGCCTCACTGGTTTAGGTTTAGTCCCTTTCCGCCGTGACTGGTACGACGAGCCGCTGCTGGCTGTCAATTAGTCCCCCTTGTGATGTGTATGGATACCCGTCCCCAGCCGTGGTGTACGCCTGCACGGAGGACGCGTTTCCCGCGCGGCGTCTGGAGCAGCTAAGGGCCGCCCGCCGGCTGACCACCGCTGTCACAGACCTCATCCTGATCGAGCACGCACCGGACGTGGTGAGCAGATGGCAGTCTCCTCTCCCAGCCCGACCCGTCAAAGGTCAGCACCCGCTCACCACCACGCCCGTCACCGAGCGCCGCGCGTGGTGAGCAAGTGACAGTCCCCTCTCCCAGCCCGACCCGTCAAAGGTCAGCACCCGCTCACCACCACACCCGCCACTGAGCACCGGACATGGTGAACAGACGACAGTCCCCTCTCCCAGCCCGACCCGTCAAAGGTCAGCACCCGCTCACCACCACGCCCGTCACTGAGCCCCGCACGTGGTGAGCGGATGACAGCCCCCCCCCCCCCTCTCCCAGCCCGACTAGTCAAAGGTCACCACCCGCTCACCACTACGTCACTGAGCGTCGCACGTGGTGAACAAACGACAGCCCCCGCTCCCTCCCAGCCGGACCCGTCAAAGGTCAGCACCCGCTCACCACCACGCCCGTAACTGAGCGACGCACGTGGTAAGAAGACGACAATCCCGGCCTTCCCCGCCTGATCCGCCAGCTGTCGCTCGCCTGGGGATCATTAAGTGCGTGCAGAAGAGCGAGGCGGACCTGTCATTGTGATGTCACCACTGCACTAATAAGCGTGGATAGCGTCACTGTCACCGTATTGTGTCTTCACTGCATCAGTCTGGTGCCGTTGCTATGATGTCTTTTTGAAACCGAAGACACCGTTTGATAGTAATATCAGTTGTGTGTGATTGTGCTCACGTTTCTCACCTTCTTTGTGTTCGTGGCGAATGACACCAGTCTTGCGCATTTTCCGCCCGCTCCTCAGGACAGTCTGCAGGTGTGCTGTGAGCAGTGCGTGCCTTCTGCGCCTGTGTCCCGGGCGCCTGTCTCACGAGCGCCGCCCGCTCCTCAGGACAGTCTGCAGGTGTGCTGTGAGCAGCTCTTGCCTTCTGCGCCTGTGTCCCGGGCGCCTGTCTCACGAGCGCCGCCCGCTCCTCAGGACAGTCTGCAGGTGTGCTGTGAGCAGCTCTTGCCTTCTGCGCCTGTGTCCCGGGCGCCTGTCTCACGAGCGCCGCCCGCTCCTCAGGACAGTCTGCAGGTGTGCTGTGAGCAGCTCTTGCCTTCTGCGCCTGTGTCCCGGGCGCCTGTCTCACGAGCGCCGCCCGCTCCTCAGGACAGTCTGCAGGTGTGCTGTGAGCGGCGCGTGCCGCAGCTGGCCGGCCGGCGGCCGCTCTGCGCACTCATCATCGACTCTGTGGCCGCCCACTTCCGGTGCCAGTACGAGGCCGGCGAGGGCGGCCGGCGCGCGCGCGATCTCCAGACGCTGGCCGGCACGCTGCGTCGCCTCAGCCGACAGCACAGCGTGGCTGTGCTCTGCGTGAACCAGGTCAGAGACGTCGCTCCGCGGCGCCGCTCCAGCCACGGCCGCCTGCGCCGGTCTGGCGCGCTCTTGTGGCGGCTGCATGGGTTGTGTGGTATGCCATGGATAGAGCTCGCAGCAGCAGCAGCAGCCGCCATGGGTAGAGCTCGCAGCAGCAGCAGCAGCCGCCATGGGTAGAGCTTGCAGCAGCAGCAGCCGTCATGTGAGAGCTCGCAGCAGCAGCAGCTTCGCTCGCCAGGCGTGCCCGATCTCCACACTGGCGAATTTAAGAGCATTCACAAACGCGCCAAGGTGGGACGTATTAGGTGCACAAAAATTTGTGCGGTATGTGCGCATTTTGGACCGACGTGCTGCAGGGGCAATTACTCACCAATTACCACCACTGATTCGTATTTGACGCAGATCTGGTCAGGAAAGATTGGCTGGTGTCAACATTGCTAGTTCGCTGCGTCTCGTTTTCGATCCAGTTGTTGTGAATGGATGTAAACGTCAGCATTTGACATGCCATCACACTGTTCGGTGCAAGACGACGGAATATCTGACGGAGCTCAGTATGTTTGGGGATGACAATTTATTTAAGATGTTCACGTATGTTTGAAGGACGTCATATGACTGGCTACGTCTAGCTGCCAAACCAAATCTCCATTAAAAGACATTCAGATGAGTCAGTGCACAACGGTGCAATGCCAGTAAGGTGCCGAATTGGGTGGGGGAGATGATGGCATTGAAGAACTTCCACGATAGATGGTGTCAGAACCTGAGCGAATACATTCAAACGCCTTTGAAAAACGTGTGAGAAGATTATATCGTGGACGATGTCTGCTATGCAAATGTCGTAGGCGCATGAGTGTGAATTCCAGCAGACTTCATTGGACAGGTCCATGAACCTGTGGCAGACGCGGAACCGCAATTTTTACGCTTTGGAAGACGACGTGGTGCCGATTTTCGGTCTTCATCGCGGGCCATGGAGCGGCGCCTACAAACTGGCGCCACTGAATAAGTAGCAGGTGGTCGGCGTGTCGCGGCGTCCGCGCTCCTCTGCCCCGGTGCCCACGGTGACCCCCGTACTCCCCTGTTACGGCGCCGGACACTGCCGGGGCAGGCATCGGTCGCGTCAGAATGGGGCCGGCCGTACCCGGCGACACGTCAGCTGACGTCCGTTTCACGTTCCCCGCCAGCTGTTCATGTTCCGCGCCGCGGCCATCTTGGCGGTGCCCGCGTTTGCTCTGAGCAAGCGAGAGTTCGAACTTTGCGGATCCCTGCGAAGATACGGACTGTCTTTCTGCCGGTCACCACCCGTGCCCCATATTCCATGTGGTTAATAGTGTGTGTGTTTATACCTTATGGGCATCAACAAAGGTCTTCCAGGCCCCAAAATGGGATTCGAATGCTTTAAAGGTACCATTAATTCAAAATAAAAACCCGTATGGTGGCGACGTGGGGCCCCTGTAGCCCGGTTTGGCCTGTCCTAGGGGGAATTTGCCTACGCCATTGGAATGTGATCGGTATGTATTGGAAGTAGATACGCGTTTAGTACTACGTAACGCCTGGCCGCCAGGCGCTTTGCAATGAATGGCAAGGATGAGTGGCTGGCAAAAGGTAGATTCGGTAGAGAATGGGAGATGCCGCAACTTTTCAGGCATGTAAGTCAAACATATGTGTGGAAGCTCAATCCCTTTAGTGTTGTGCTCACATTGGAGACCATTGGGACAGGGGCGTAATCAAGAGATGGGAGAATTTTTGTGGCCATGTCTGTCACCCCTCACAGGTAGTGGGACCCTAATGCCTTTCGATAGTTCAAAACGCCCGCAGAGCTCATTTAACGTGAAAAGGTCCCCCGAGACCTCAAAATAGGGTTTCGTTCTTAAAGGCTAATCCGAACGTAAAAATAGGGCCGAAGCGACCATCAGTGACACCCCATTTGGCTAGAAGGTTCCCTTTGATCAATTTCGACCGCTCTTGGCCGAAATTCTAGCCACGTGTTTGCATTCGGGCACGTTAGATCGAGTCCACCAACGAAAAGTCGTCCACGGTCTCACCCAAACATACAGCATTGATCAGCTTAAAAACGGAGCACAAGCAGTTCCGGCATCCACCTGGGCGGCGTTCCCCATCGGCAAAGTGTCTACCTGAGTTGCTACTTATGATGTCGCGTGTGCACACGTCGTACACAAGCGACTATACTCGTAGCCGTAGGGAATGTTGTGCCGCACGTACCTGTGACGTCAGGCGTTGCGACTTTGGACGGCGATTGGTTGGGAATGGAGAACGCGGCCTTGAAACCGCCTCTGACCAGTCAAAGCCCGCAGCGTTTGTGCGATCACGTGTGCGGTCCGGTGATCCCTGCCAGCCAATCAGCGCGAGCGGTGGTTTCGCAGCGCGCGGTCCAGCCCTGTCGCCCAGACGGTGTCCAGACGGCTGGCTTCTGTGGTGCGCGTGGGGCGTCTGTGGCCGCAGCGGGGCACCACGCGCTGAGCGAAGGGGCGACTGAGTGCACGGGCCATGGGACCGAGCGGCTGCTGCTTGACCGCGCTGATGGCGCTGGTCGCCACCTCCACCGCCACCGCCCAGCTGGAGGCGGTGGGCGGCTCGCCGGCCCAGCTCGGCAAGTGGCCGTGGATAGCGCTGTTTGGCCGCCAGACCGACGCCGGCCCGACCGAGTGGTTCTGTGGCGGCACTCTGATCCATGCCCGCTACGTGCTGACGGCGGCGCACTGCGTGCAGCCCGAGCGAGCGGCCGCCGTCAGCGTGCGGCTGGGTGACCACACGCTCTCCGTGAGCTCGGAGGTGGCGCACCAGGAGCGGCGCGTGGCGGCCGTGCTGCACCACCCGCAGTACAGTCCCTGGCAGAATGACATCGCGCTGGTGCGGCTGGCGCAGCCGGCGGAGCTGACCGCGGCCGTGCAGCCGTTGGCTCTGCCGGCGCCCGGCGCGCCCGTGCCCACCGGGCTGGACGTCGAGGCGGCCGGCTGGGGCCATCTCGAGTTCGCCGGCGACACGCCCGACGTGCTGCACGAGGTGCCGCTGCGCGTGACTGACGCGGCCGCCTGCGAGGAGGCGTACCTGGCCGCGCCGCAGTTTAGGGCTCGCTTCCCAGGTGGATTTCAGGACACAAAGGTGTGCGCCGGCAGCCGGGACTCGGTGGCGCGTGACGCCTGCCACGGCGACTCGGGCGGCCCGCTGATGGCGCCGCGGCCCGGCGGCGACGCCTACGAGCTGGTGGGCATCGTGTCGACCGGCTACGGCTGCGGCAACCCAAAGTACCCGGGCATCTACACCAGGGTGTCTGCGTACGTCGACTGGATCCGGGACAACATGGAGTAATAGCTCTGCCCTCCCCCTCCCCCCCCCCCTAGAGTGGGGGCGCCGGACTTCCACGGAGATCCCGTTCGGGTGCCTGGCCGAAACCCGGCAACGGTCTCCCGCAGCATGAACACGCTCCCATGACACCGACTCCCAGCGTGGGAGCACCAAGGATGCCTATTTGTATCGCGCGCTGCACAAGTCTTTCACGGATAGTCTGTTTTAGGAGGCACGGTGTGCGGTCGGTTGGATAACGCCGCGTTGTGCGCTACCGAGGCAGTATTTGAATGATTGTGTTCATTTCCCGCCCAGCCTGGCTGTGTGGAACGTTCATGCCTTTCTGCAGGAGAATGTGCTAGTGATGGCGTGGCCCTGATTGTGCGTTGTTTTAATCCTTCCATGTAATAAACTTGCGTAACAATGGTTTTGGCCTTGTTGCCGCGTTAGGTTTGAAGGCTGGCCGTAATTACCACGCCGTTCGGCGCTGGTCATCCTAGCATGGCCCCACGAACGGACACTGAATACTGGCGAGGTTTAGCCATGGACGTGTCCCATACGGGGCCGCCCGGGGTCGTGTCGACGTCTGATCAGGATCAGACTTCTGATGGAGACTGATGTGGTCCATTCACGTCTGCGTGCGATGGTCGGGCTCCGTGGCACTACTGACGTGCTACAGCGTCAGGCACGCTGCATTATGGTGTGGAACACTTCCAGGCCGCCTCCTATCGCAGCGTTGCACTGCTGTCATACCTGGTATACACTGGAAGCCGGGTCAGGTGGAGTTGCAGGCATTATCGCCAGAGCCATCGGCCCGTGGCGCGAGCTGTTCAAGCGGACTGGCTAGTGTTGACAGGGTGTTTGCTTGTGAACAACCGACCCTCCTCGCTAACGCCAGCGATGAAGATCCCCTGCGGCAGAACTTCACGAAACTCGTTGGGAACGCGACTGGCAGATCTGCGAACAACCTCTCTTTTGTTTTGCCTTTGGGATGTTGACAGGCTTTGAGTATTTACATGGCGTTTTGCAAATTTGAATGAGCTGAGCGCTTCGGGACGTGTTCCTGTGATTTGAAGGTGATGCTTGGCAACGACCGTGATCACCGGCTAGCCGCGTTCGCCGCTTTCCACCGGACTCACGTGCTCGGTATGGTAGGTGAGGTAACGGGTGTGGTTGATGCGTACACCGCCAATTTTGACGACGGCATCTGCCACCGATCTTGATTGGTCAGCAGATTGCAGATCCGTTGAGTGGTTTTACCCCAGCCTAGTTTTTACCATAATGCCTGACTAGTGGCTAACTAGTAATTCGCCTCTCGGGTCAGCGGCGATGGAACTGATGTGGAGATGGGGAACTCAGTTTCACCTTTTGCTTGCGCCGCCGTAGGGTTTATGTGAAATGTTACTAGGGATTGCTCCTCCCTTGCCCCTCTAGTCTGCCGTTCCTGCCTCAGACCATGACACGTCTACAGATGGGGGGGGGGGGGGAGGAGACAGCGATCATCACCTCCCTGAGTATGAACATGTGGTTTCAGTTCAGTTCCTCCTTCCACGTGACCACTTCGCGTTGCTGCTAGAGCCCAGAGCGCGCAGTATTCGCCTCAGTTTGTTCAGCGTCCGACTGCGCGCGCTGATCGGCGCCGGGGCGCGTCTTGCGGCGGCCGTGCCACTGACGGCGTGACGTGTCCGGCCGGCAGGTGACGAGCGTGCCGCGTGACGGGGCGGCCGGCGGCGTGACGCCGGCGCTGGGCCTCGCCTGGGCCACCCAGGTGACATGCCGGCTCCAGACGACGCGCACCAGGTTCAGCCTGGCGCACCGGTGAGTGCGGCCCGCCACAGGTGGTCGGGGGCGGCCCGCCGGCGCTCGGGCCGCACCGTGACGCGCTGGGGAGGGCCGCGGTCAGACGGCACCCTCGACCTCCCTTGGCGGGGTCTGGCCGCGTGACTGGACTAGCCTGGCTCACAGGACGGCGTCGGTCTTGTCACGGTTCTCCGGCGCTGTGGGCCCCCGATGGTCGAGAAGGCGCGGCCTGCCCGTCCTGTCGGGTCACATCCTACCAGGGCTGATATGTTGCAACTTGCTTGACCGGAGTATTACTGCTGTGGCCAGAGCGATTTCGCTGACGCGGGCGCTGCCGCCAAAGTCGGGGCGGGGCGCCCATTGGCTGTGCTTTTGCGTGGTCTGCTGTAAGGCACCGAATGGTTGCTGGTGTTGTAAATGACCCTGCAAGGCTTGGACATCGATGCTATTACCTGCTAGTGTTAATCGTGGTTTTGGACGAAAATCCTTCATCAGCTTTTTTTTCTCTCATCAGGTTCGTCTAAAAGCACCAAAAGAGTACCGGGAGGCACGGGCGCGATTTCTCTAATTTGGTTCGAGAAGGAAGTAGTTGAACTAATAACAAACACCAAAACTGTCCCCAAAGCAAGGCTCAAAACTAGAACCGGACTGTAACATGCTTGATTATCAAAGAGAGTACGATTAGGTATGGACTGAAATCTCCTCACAGTATTATTGTAGCTGAAATTACATCTGTTTCGTAAACCGCATTACTGACATCTGGCCTCCGCGTGGGGACCCGAACAGCGCTTGCTACTATTGCCTTCAGTATTCACACATCACAGAAACAAGCCTGGCGTGAACACCATCATCAGCATCCCGCAGCTTTGGTGCGTGTCCTGCCCGTGTAACGGCGGCCGGCGTGCCACACCGCAGGGAGCGGCCGTCGGAGGCGGCGCCGCGGCTCATGCAGCTGCGCGTGCACTCGGCGCCCCACCTGGCAGCCGACGCCGCCTACTACCAGATCGAGGCGGGCGGAGTGCGCGGCGTGCCCGTCACGGACAGCACGCTGCTCGTGCCGCTGCCCGACTGAGCGCCGCCGCCTCGGCCCGCCATCGAATCCACCAACTGCTGTGAGTTTGTCAGCGTTGTATGGTTTGCGGTGGACAGCGGATCTGTGTGTTGGCGGTCGGCTTCTCCTGGACGAGCACAGCCATCGGTGATTTGTTAATAATACCGTTTTATACTGTTGTGGTATTTTACGATGCCCTGGTCAATACAGGTGTATGTTCGCCGACCCTGGCTCAGTGCTCATGCTGGCTGCCGTGTTGTGCGGCCACATACCAGCCGGTTGGCCGGCTCAAACCCAGGGCTCGGTACAGTCACGCTCAGGCGCTCCAGCTCCGGCGCAGCTTGACCAGTCCCGGCAGTTACGCTCAGGTGCTGCAGCTCCGGCGCAGCCTGGCCAGTCCCGGCAGTTGCACTCAAGAGCTCCAGCTCCGGTGCAGCTTGGCCAGTCCTGGCAGCTGACGGCTGCAGCGTTGACGTTAGCGTGACCATGTGGCTCGCCTTGACTTGCGCGTTACTCCAAATTTCCTAAGACGCGGGGCTGAACAAACGCCGATTCGACGTCTCTGATCTTTGGGCCCACGCGCGGTTCGTTACTCGAATGCCGACCGCACTGCCGCTCCTCTCACACAGCGCGCTGGGTCTGGGCCCGGCACCTGTCGCCTGCAGCCAGCACGCGTGCTTCGGCTGCCGACCAGGGCCGGCGGCGCCGCACGGGAGCGCGTGACAAAGGCCACCTCTGGCTGTCCGGAGCCCGTGTGTATTTCCGCCGCGGCAGCCCTCCCCGCTCTTCCGCCGTTTGCACAGCACACGCCGTTTGTACACTCGCCTATCACAGTGGCGGCGCGGCGCCCGGGCCGCCCGCGCGTCGTACTCCCGAGTGGTGCCAGCAGCAGTGAAGGCAGCGGTCGCGCCACAGCCCTGCCAGGCTCCAGTAAAACCATCTTCCCGCCCCGCCCCGCCCCGGCGCGCGTAGTGCGCGCATCACAGTATGTCGGGCGGGCGCTTCCCACGAGAGGAGCCACATTCCAGCCCAGAGCGGCGCGCTACAGAGCACCCCGGGTATGGTCGCCGAGGGACAGCAACAAGCAACAGAACAAAGCCCGGCGTATCATAATTGTCTAGGATTATCGGCGTGAGCCGCATGTCCGCCGGCGCGGCGCGCCCAGCACGTCCGGCGCTCTGCCTGCGCCTGCCGAAGGGTGCGGGCGTCGTCGTCGGCCGGCTCGCGAGCAGCCCGGCGGCGCTAGAAGTATCCGCCGTTAGACTCCGAGTCCGAGTCAGAGCCGCACGTCCGCCGGCGCGGCGCGCCCAGCACGTCCGGCGCTGTGTCGGCGCCTGCTGAAGGGTGTGGGCGTCGTCGGCCGGCTCGCGAGCAGCCCGGCGGCGCTAGAAGTATCCGCCGTCGGACTCCGAGTCCGAGTCAGAGCCGCACGTCCGCCGGCGCGGCGCGCCCAGCACGTCCGGCGCTGTGGCGGCGCCTGCTGAAGGGTGTGGGCGTCGTCGGCCGGCTCGCGAGCAGCCCGGCGGCGCTAGAAGTATCCGCCGTCGGACTCCGAGTCAGAGCCGCACGCCATGCTCATGGAGTTGAGCTGGGCGGTGGGCGCGGCGTCGGTGGGGCCTCCGCACGCGCCCTCCTGCGGCAGACACGGACGATGGGTCAGCGGCACGCCGGCCCGGTCAGCTCGGCGGCGCACAGACGCCTCGGCGCTGGAGGCGCGCTTGGTCGTCACTGACTAGTGTCAAGTGCTTTAGTACCGATCGATGATCAGAATGGCAACAATACACCACCAGTGCAAAACGGAACAGCGCTGACCTGGGTCAAGAGGCCGTGGCGCAGGATAGTCACGGATGGACAGACACCCCGAGCAGCGGCGGCGGGAAGGGGGCACACCAACCAGCCCAGAAGAGCACGCACGGCCACCGGCCGAGCCGCGCCGTTCTGCGCCGAGCGCGGCTGCGTGGCCGCGGCGTACTCACCCCGTGCGCCCCGCCCACAATGCGGCCCAGGCCCGCCATGTATTTGCCGTAGTGGGAGCCGGCCCAGTAGACGTGGCCGCAGCTCTGGCACACGTAGAAGGTGTCGGTGGCGTCCAGAGTGGTGGTGTGCAGGCCGGCCGCCTGCACCAACACCGTGCAGTCGCTGGAGGGGCAGGGGGAGGGAGGTCAGTCGGACCACCGCTGCACAGCCCGCCGCGACAGGAGACCCGCTGCGGACGCCGCTCTCCCGGGCGGGCAGCCAACAGCGGGTGACGAATCGCAGCTGTGCGACGCTGCGGTCGGAGCGAACACGCCGCCAGTGACAGCGGCCGCGCTGCTCGAGCCGCCACGGCACAGCACATCCACTGGTCTGCCGCGACTGTCCAGCGACAGCAGGCGCCACGCCAACCTCATGATACGGTGACGTGTTGGTATTTCGAGCGAGACGTGAAGCCCCACAAGCCAGCCGCTTCCCGACGCATCTCCCTGTAGACCACCCATCCCGTACGAGCAGATGGCCTGGCCCGCTTTCCCACAGTCCGTGCCTCGCTGGCGTCCCCGTCCGCGGGAGCGGCGCGCGCCGTCTCGGCTCACCTGACGGCGCCTGTGTTGAGGTCGACCAGCGGGCCGCCGGGCTCGAGGTCGACGTATTCGGGGCGCCGCCCGGCGCCGCGGCCGCCGCTCACCAGCCGGTCCCGCAGCTGGCGCATCACGCCGCCCGGCACGTGCCAGTAGTCGCCCGAGTTACAGTGCTGGCGGCCGAGCCACCGTCGGTCACGTACGAGTTATGGATGTCGCGACGGAGTTACACGGGCGCTACCATCATGCGCGGGTGTCACGCATGTCACACTTGTCACAGAGATGTCGCGCGGCGGTGCCAGAGGCGTCCCACGACGGTCGCGCAGGTGGCACGGCCGTGACACGTGGTCCGCGGCCTGCCGAGCCCCACCTGACAGCGGCGCAGCACATCCTCGGGAGCCACGTCCAGCATGAAGTGGCGGACCACCTCCTCCAGCTGGTCGGCGGCACGCTCCGCCGCCACGTGGTAGCAGTGGCCGGCCGGCACAAGGCCGACCATGCGCCGGTGCAGGGCGCGGCCGCGCGTCAGGATGATGCGTCCCTCGCGCTGCGCCAGCACCACGCACGTGTCGTGATCCTCGCCGTTCTCTGCGGGCACGACCGGCGCGGGTTCGCGGCGCTCGGTGGCGGCGGGGTTGGGCGCATGTCTTCGTCCCCAAGCCGACGCAACAGGTCCAATTGTTGGGTGGGTGTCGGGCGGCGGGAGCAGGGGTCGTCCCACGGTCACAGCAAAACGCCCAAGGTATTATTCACGCGCACGCACTGCTTTTGATCGACACGAGCGAGAGCAACAGAGTTCATCTAAACAGGTTACCCGGAGCTGCGATGGCCCGACCAGTGCACATCTGGGGTACTTGGCCACGTAGCCCTGAGTCAGATCCGTCATAAACGCCGCTGGAGTTCACATGGCATGCCACTCGTCAGCGCTTCAGCGCCGGTCAACTGAACCGTGCTTCCACGTGCCGTTGGTGTCATCGCATGGACGAGGTGTTGTTCATGGGTATTGGCACGAAAGCACAAAACAGCATCAACAAATTGCGAATTGTGGGCACCGTTGACAGGTAAACCACACATATCGATAGCCTGTAGCTGTCGAGTACCGAAACTAGCTCTTGTTTGTACGATTACCAATGCCAAGTATCAACATTCGTAAAGTGAACACTCAAAACAATCGCAGACAGCATTCCGCTATTTTGCTAATAAACCAAGACCATCAACTGTTGAATTATTAATTGCAATTATGAATCACCATAAAAACGAAACCTACGCACGCACGCACGCACGCACGCACGCACGCACGCACGCACGCACGCACGCACGCACGCACGCACCAGCTTGCACCAGCGTGTGGCGTGGCCGAAGCTCCCAGCGCCCCGACTGACCGAGTGCTGGGATACTTGTCACACGGCAGGGGCACACCGGCGCTGTGGCGGTGCTTACATTCTAAGACAGGGGCAATCACTTTGGTTGGAAGGGGCAAAAAGCATGACCGAGTACGACTGCGTCGGCCCCGCAGCGCCCTGACTGACCGAGTATGACTGTCGGCTCCCCAGCACCCTGACTGACCGAGTATGACTGTGTCGGCCCCCCAGCGTCCTGACTGACCGAGTATGACTGTCGGCTCCCCAGCACCCTGACTGACCGAGTATGACTGTCGGCTCCCCAGCACCCCGACTGACCAATTATGACTGTCGGCTCCCCAGCACCCCGACTGACCGAGTATGACTGTCGGCTCCCCAGTGCCCCGACTGACCGAGTATGACTGTCGGCTCCCCAGCACCCCGACTGACCGAGTATGACTGTCGGCTCCCCAGCACCCCCGACTGACCGAGTATGACTGTCGGCTCCCCAGCACCCCGACTGACCGAGTATGACTGTCGGCTCCCCAGCACCCCGACTGACCGAGTATGACTGTCGGCCCCCCAGCGCCCCGACTGACCGAGTATGACTGTCGGCCCCCCAGCGTCTTGACTGGCCGAGTATGACTGTGTCGGCCCCCCAGCGTCCTGACTGACCGAGTATGACTGTCGGCTCCCCAGTGCCCCGACTGACCGAGTATGACTGTCGGCCCCCCAGTGCCCCGACTGACCGAGTATGACTGTCGGCTCCCCAGCGCCCCGACTGACCGAGTATGACTGTGTCGGCTCCGATGCTGCGCAGCTTCTTGCCCAGGCCCTGCACCATGGTGTCGCACACGGCGCGGAACGCCGCCGGCCGGATGGCGCGCGCGTTCGGCGGCGGCGCGTTCTCCAGCTCGGGCCCCTGCGGCCGACGGCGGGTCACACCGGCGCTGTGGCGGCGCTTACATTCTAAGACTGGGGCAATCACTTTGGTTGGAATGGGCAAAAAAACAAGGGCTCCAACAAACATGATAACCTGCCCCAGCGATTGCCTCATTTGCGAAAAAGCCCCCGGATCTGGCGCGCTTCCTTTCGAGATTGTGGAAGCTTCCACGCCGACCCGTGGCAATACCTTTGAGACCAGGCAGCGGCGAGGCCTGGGGGCGCGGTTCTGCACGTCTCCGTACCTCAGGCGGGGGGGGGGGGGGGGGCGGCACAGTTCTGCATGTCCCCGCAGCTCAGGCGGGGAGGACCGGCGGCGCGGTCCTGCACGTCCCGGCACTTCAGGCGGGGACGGCCGGCGGCACGGTTCTGCACGTCCTTACACCTCAGGCGGCTCGTGACGAGCCACCGAGCTGTGCCTGTGTCGGCAACTTTGGTCTTAGCGCGGCTACCGCAGGTGCAACCGAGTGAGGGGTCGGCCGGCCGACGCCTGGGTACGCGGCTGCGTCGGCGAACGGGGACCGACGGCCGCCACCAAACGCGTCCGGCAGATCAGGTGCAGGCGGAAGCTGGTCTCGACCGCCACCGCGGCGGGTCTGTGCATGGCACGAGTCACCATCGCATGCCAGATGCCAATGGTGGAGCTCCGGCATGCGATAACACCACAGCAGCTGGCGGCAGCGGCCGGCCATGACCGCTGAGTGACGCGGCACTGACAGACAGGAGGGGGGGGGGGGGGGGGGGCGGACCGACACCGGCAACAGGGCGCAGCCTGCCCGCACGGCATCCCGTGGACGGCACTGACCTTGCCCGCGGGCGCGGCGGGCCTCTTTTTCTGCTTGTTCTTGGCGGCCGACGGCGCCTTGGCGGGCGCCGCGGTGTTTGTGATGATGCACTTGAGAACGGCGGCCGGCGTGGTGCCCTCGCGGTCGTACAGCGCGTCCCGCAGTGTGTTGTATACCTCGATCAGGCAGTAGGCGTCCGAGGCTGTCCGACACAGGACAACACCGGTCACCGTAGCGACAGGACGGTGAGCGGGGTCTCACCCGAGAGCACAACCACCCGCATGTCAACACGAGGTCGAACCATACGCAGCGTCCCCTTAGGTCCGGCACAGCGCGTCAGCAGGCAGGTCAATCAAACCGTCAAATCATGATGCGCTATACTGTCATTGTCATTGGGCTTTACGACGCACCCAGTTGCTGAGATTATATGACATCGTCTGCCTCTCACCCTGGCAGGAATGGCAGGCAGTGTCGGGAATCGAACCCCGTACCTCTGGTTTCCCAGACGCACAGTGGTTAACGCAGACGTGTTAACCACTCCGCTACCGGCACCCCCGATGCGCCATGTTGGTGGCGGGGCCGGGCGGCCCGGACCGTCACTGGACGACACCTCTGTCGAGCCCCCGCCGCCAACCGGCCGACGCCCGGCGCTGACGGCCGCTCACCGGCGTACTGCAGCTGGCTGGAGCGCAGCGGACGGCGACCCCAGTTGGAGCACTGTTCCTCCTTGTTGAGCGGCTTGCCCAGGCACTTGCGCACCAGCTCGCTGAGGCCCTTGACCGCTTCCTTGGACTTGCGGCGGCCGGCGCCGTCCTGGCCGCGCGCGGCCGGCGCTGACGGCAGAGGCGCAGCCAGCGTCATGCTGCGTAGCTAAATAGTCTCCCAAATCTCAACACTCATCACTAGAACTGCCTTTCGGTCGCTGTTGTGTGTGTGATTGGGGCTTTACGACGCACTCAGCTGCTGAGGCTATATGGCGTCGCCCGCCTCTCACCCTAGCAGGAAGGGCGGGCACTGTGGGGAATCGAACCCCGTACCTCTGGTTTCCCAGACGCGCAGTGGTTGACGCAGACGTGTTAACCACTACACTACCGGCACCCCTTTCGGTTGCTAAAAGAGTGGTTAGTTTTCATTCATATCATTACAGGCATTATTGATTGCCTGCGCGCGCGACCGCCGGACTGACGAGTCATGCAATGTGGACACAGTGACCGGACTAGCGGTTCGTGCACGCGGCGGCCGGACTGGCGACTCATGCAATGTGGGCACAGTGACCGGACTAGCGGTTCGTGCGCGCGGCGGCCGGACTGACGAGTCATGCAATGTGGACACAGTGACCGGACTAGCGGCCTGCGCGCGCGTCCTGAGACCCATCGAGTATTTACACGACACGCGGCCTTAGCGTTCATGCCACACGAGCGAGCGACCGCATAGCGTGAGGAACCGCCGGCCGCGGAAAGGCCGCGGGACGCCGCCGGCCGCGAAAAGGCCGCGGTGGCGTTCATATACGGCCGCGAACATGTTCCCGTCCAGACGGCTGCCTCACCTTCCTTGTACGGGAAAATGTTTGGAAACGCCTCCTCGACACGACTGCCGAGGGTTTGACGTCCATCATGTTCTTCTTGCCCATGATGGCCTTCGCGAATGACGGCACTGAACTCTCCAGCATGTCGAAGTCGCTCACCTGGTCGTACCCTGGCCGGCAGAAGGGTCGCTCAGTCGGACGCACCAAACGCGCACAACGTGACTCCAGGACGCGGTCCGCAGCCACCGGAGATTGGGCGCTCGAGGTGCGCGCCGCGCCCACCTACCCAGTTTGAGGTTGTCTCCGCAGAGGATGGCGGCGCCGAGCCTCTCCATCAGCGGCGACACCACCGTCAGCTGCAGCAGGTCCAGCACGTACACCAGCCGGCTGGTGGCCACCTGCCGGTCACCGCGCACGCGCCGCCGTCAGCCCACGGTGGGACAGTCCGACCTGCCGCGGCCTCCACCCGTCAGAGCAGAGACCAGCGGCGGTCAACCCGTGTACAGCGCAGTGCAATCTTACAATATGGTGTGCCACAACATGCGTGAAGAGGGTCTCACGTTAAGTCAGCACTCAAGAGGAGCGTAGAAGTCGTGATGCTGTCTAACTGTCTCGCCACCAGCCATGCGGTCCGGGTGGTGTGTAAGATTTGAGTGGCAGTCACGTGTGCGCGTGCTGCATCAGCCTCCCTTTACATACTTGCGCATGGATGAAAATCTGCTGATTGGATTTCGTGTGAAATATACGAATATGACTATGATATCCACAGCGGCCGGCTTGGGCTGACCACACGGCCACTGGCCACACAGCTGCCAGCAGCCACGGCGGCCGACTGACGCTCGCCACACGGCCACCGGCCACGCGCCCGTCGGCAGCCTCAGCGACCGACTGGGACTCGCCACACCGCTACCGGCCACACAGACGCCGGCAGCCACGGCGGCCGACTGAGGCTATCCACACGGTCACCGGCCACACAGCTGCCAGCAGCCACGACGGCCGACTGACGCTCGCCACACGGCCACCGGCCACACGCCCACCGGCAGCCTCAGCGACCGACTGGAACTCGCCACACCGCTACCGGCCACGCGCCCGTCTGCAGCCACGGCGACCCGACTGGGACTCGCCACAAACCGCTACCGCCAGACAACGCCGGTAGCCACGGCGGCCGACTGAGGCTGTCCACATGGTCACCGGCCACACAGCCGCCGACAGCCTCGGCGACCGACTGGGACTCGCCACATGGCCACCGGCCACGCGCCCGTCGGCAGCCTCAGCGGACCGACTGGGACTCGCCACACCGCTACCGGCCACACAGACGCCGGCAGCCACGGCGGCCGACTGAGGCTGTCCACACGGTCACCGGCCACACAGCCGTCGGCAGCCTCGGCGACCGACTGGGACTCGCCACACCGCTACCGGCCACGCGCCCGTCGGCAGCCTCAGCGACCGACTGGGACTCGCCACACACGCTACCGGCCACACAGCTGCCGGCAGCCACGGCGGCCGACTGACGCTCGCCACATAGCCGCCGACAGCCACGGCGGCCGACTGAGGTTCGCCACACGACCGCCCGATGACCTCCACCGACCATGTCAAGATGACCCCGGTGAACCCGAGATGACCCCCAGCCGACCCGTCGCCCGCGCGCACACCGGCCGGCAGCGCGGTGTGGGCGGGGCGTCGGGACGCAGGCCGGCCGACGCAGCTCACCTGGAGCAGCGAGACCCTGTTCCAGTCTCGTACGGTGATTGGCTTCCACTCGGCGTCCAGTCCAAGCACGCCGTCGTACTGTCAACAGGTGGCAGCACCGTCAGTCGCAGCCCAGACCGGCAGGAGGCGGCATCGTCGGCGCAGCAGCAGACCGGCCGCATTTTCTGATCCCCCCCCCCGCACCCCACCCCGTCACTGTGTGCACAGCGGCTCGTCTGGCGGCGGGGCAACGATAACTGGTAATCTTCATACCACCATCAGACAACGGTGCCAGAACTACCCGCCCCACAATCATCACGGCCGACTCTCGCCCTACCATTGCAACCGCCAAGGACTGGGGAGAGGGAGGAGGAAACCCCAGGCACTGTCCTGAGGTCACTGTAGTAGCTGTACTGAGCAGTCGGAACATATTAGCCTCAATAACTAGACACCGGGCACACACAGACACAGTAGAGAGCTCACCACCACGCGCGGGACCGGAGCCCAAACTGGGTGTACGTAAAGCTCTCCCGTCTGTCAGCACGTGACTTCAGCTGCATGCAAATGATTATTCGTCGGCACGGGGCCACTCTGAGGAGTGCCCAACGACAGTGGGCCGCGGCACCTCGTCCGCTCCGGGGCCCACTTGAGGAGTTGTGCTAACTCGGCAGTGAGCCGGGTACTCGTCCGCTCCGGGGCACTCTGAGGGGTGTCTAACTCGGCAGTGAGCCGCCGCACCTCGTCGGCTCCGGAGCCACTCTGAGGAGTGTCTAACTCGGCAGTGAGCCGTGGCACCTCGTCGGCCACCGGGGCCACTCTGAGGAGTGCCTAACGACAGTGGGCCGCGGCACCTCGTCGGCTCCGGAGCCACTCTGAGGAGTGTCTAACGACAGTGAGCCGCGGCACCTAGTCGGCTCCGGGGCCACTCCGAGGAGTGTCTAACTCGGCAGTGAGAGCCGCGGCACCTCGTCGGCTCCGGGCCACTCTGAGGCGTGTCTAACTCGGCAGTGAGCCGCGGCACTCGTCGGCTCCGGAGCCACTCTGAGGAAGTGTCTAACGACAGTGAGCCGCGGCACCTCGTCGGCTCCGGGGCCACTCCGAGGAGTGTCTAACTCGGCAGTGAGCCGGGCACCTCGTCGGCACCGGGGCCACTCTGAGGAGTGTCCTAACGACAGTGGGCCGCGGCACCTCGTCCGCTCCGGGGCCACTCTGAGGAGGGTGTCTAACGCGGCAGTGAGGAGCGGCACCTTGTCGGCTCCGGGGCCACTCTGAGGGGTGTCTACTCGGCAGTG